GAGGTACCATCTCACACCTGTCAGAATGGCTATCATCAACAAATCAACAAATGACAAGTGCTGGCGAAGATGCGGAGAAAAAAAAAACCCTCGTGCATTGCTGGTGGGAATACAGACTGGTGCAGCCACTGTGGAAAACAGTATGGAGCTTCCTCAAAAAGTTAAAAATGGAACTTCTATTTGACCCAGTGATCCCACTTCTAGGAATATATCCCAAGAAACCAGAAACACCAATCAGAAAGGATATATGCATCCCTATGTTCATAGCAGCACAATTTACCATAGCTAAGATTTGAAAACAGCCTATGTGCCCATCAGCAGATAAGGGGATTAAAAAACAGTGGTACATCTACACAATGGAATATTACGCTGCTGTAAAAAAGAAGGAATTCTTACCATTTGCAACAGCATAGATGGAACTGGAGAGCACTATGCTAAGTGAAATAAGCCAGTCAGAGAAAGATAAATATCACACGATCTCACTCATTTGTGGAATATAATGAACACTATAAATTAATGAACAAAAATAGAACCAGTGCCCTAACTGGTTTGGCTCAGTGGATAGAGCGTCGGCCTGCGGACTCAAGGGTCCCAAGTTCGGTTCCGGTCAAGGGCATGTACCTTGGTTGTGGGCACATCCCCAGTGGGGAGTGTGCAGGAGGCAGCTGATTGTTGTTTCTAACTCTCTATCCCTCTCCCTTCCTCTCTGTAAAAAATCAATAAAAATATATCTTAAAAAAAATAGAACCAGAGTCATAGAAGCATCAAACAGACTGTCCAACCTATGAGGGAAGGTGGGGGTGAAGGGGTTAGAGATCAACCAAAGGACTTGTATGCATGCATATGAGCATAACCAATGGACACTGATGGGGTGTAGGGGGAGTTAGGGCATGTGCTGGGGGGGGGGTGAGGGCAGTGGAGGGAAAAAAGAGATTTATGTGATACTGTAAACAATAAAAATTTAAATTAAAAGAAATTTTCTTTTCCCTGGTCGGTTAGAGCAGTGGTTCTCAACCTTTTTTTGGCCATGCCCCACCTAAGCATTTCTAAAATCCTAATATACCTCCCCCCCACGTGACATATAATTGTTATTATTTAAAAAGTGAATTCCTATTCACGTGGAGGAAGCCTAAAAGGCCATTAACTTGGTCTAAACAAGCTTCCAAAGAACACGGCATCCATGAAAGAGAAAAATAAAAGAAGGAAAGGACAGTTGAAGTACTGAGGAAGAAATCACTAAGATATTGTTAAAAAATCTATCTATCTATCTATCTATCTATCTATCTATCTATCTATCTATCTATCTATGGAATGCTAATTAGCCGAGCATCATGACCACTCAGGAGGAGCTGTGCAAGAAGATGGGCAGGAGGGGACTGCGTGCCGCCCCCACCCAGCGGCGGTGGGCAGGCTGGGGCTGGGGGCGGGCCAGAGCAGAGACACAACACACAGGAGCACCTGCCCCCACCCCAGCCCACACACGCAGCAGCGCGGTGCCGGCCCCCCGCGCAGGGTGCCTCCTTGCAGGGCAGGAGGCCGGGTGCCTCTTTGTGCGATTTCAACCACCGCTGGGCCTCTAGTTAATAATAATATGAAGTGATATGAAAAAATAGCAAATAAAGTTTCAAAACATATGATAGAGAACTTAAATGCAGAAATATGTCACAATATATATTTATATACTGTATATGAGGCCCCTAGAACCATAAGAAATGCAAAAAATTCACTGTTAATAACTCATTCTCAAATTGTCCCCCTTAAAAATCAAATTTCCCCCTGTGGGGTGTGTGCCCCACATTGGGAACCACTGGGTTAGAGCGTCGGCCTGACCTGAGGACCGAAGGGTCGCAGGTTCCATTTCCAGTCAAGGACATTTACCTCAGTTGCAGGTTCAATCCCCGAGGGTGCATGTGGGAGGCAACCAAACGTGTCTGTCTGTCTGTCTCTCTCCCTCCCTCCACTCTCTCTAAAAATCAATGAAAAAAAATCCTCAGGCAAGGATTTAAGAAAAAAAAGTTGTTACCTTAATACATCAAATACTAAATACTTTTTAAAAAGTAGTATTTCCTTTGCTTCTCATAATATCAGTCTATCATGTGTTACAACCTAGAATAACAAATCCAAGTAACTCATGTCAAGTTAATTCTTGTTCATTCCTGCACTCCACTTTTCTGAGAAATAGATAAACCTCAAGGATGCCGTTAATATAAGGGATTCTATTAACACATTTGTAATACCTTAACCAATAAAGAAATTAAAGATAAAAAATCATCTTTTCAAGTTCTGGCTCGGCTTGGAACAGCTTCAGCTCTGTCTCCTATGCCTTTCCTAAGGTCATCTGTTTAGAATAACAGCTCCCCATCAAAGAATTACTCCTCTGATTCTCATTTTATTCAACCAACCCAAGTTTTCACCATTCTTAATGGGTAGCGTAAAAATATTAGGAGAGGAAGAGGTGCACATGTTTTAGAAGGTTAAAATCCATTAACCTAGTTAATCTGTTAACCAATACAACTAGTTCCTCATTGTATTGGTCAATGGAGGCTTTCATATATGCTGTGCTGATATTATATTATTTTGCAGTCTTAGGCAAATGTAGAGAAACCAACTTGCCCTGGTTAGCCTGAGGTTTTTCTAGTTTTACCATGAAAACCGGGGACTGAGGAAATCATCCAGCCCTGGGCAAAAAAGGTAGTTGGTCGCTCTTACCAACTGAGTGACTGTTTAACTTCTTGTTTCTCAAACTATGGTCGTCACCAGCCACACAGGCATCACCTGGAAGCTTGTTAAAAGTGCAGCATTGCAGATCCCACTGAGACCTGCTGCATTTGAATGTGCATTTTAACAAGCTCCCCAGGGCAGAGGCACATTCCCACCTGAGAAGCACTGCTCTCATGGACTCAACTGGAAACATCAGAATTGGTTCTGGGTCAAATTAAGCAGGTGAAGTTTCCCCTCTTGTGTTCCCTTACCTGATTTTGGTGCCCCCCCCCTCTTCTGAAAACTCCCAAGCACTCTCAGGTTGCCCGTGTAAGTTATCCT